GATGGGTGGGAAGGGAGGAATAAGGCTGGGGAAAAAGAAAGGGGGCATTACGATTAGCACGTATAGTATCAGGAGGGGGGCATGGGGAAGACTGTACAACACAGAGAAGATAAGTAGTGATTCTACAGCATCTTACTACGCTGATGGACAGTGACTGTAATGGGGTTTGTGGAAGGGACTTGGTGAAGGGAGGAGCCTAGTAAACATAATGTTCTTCATGTAATTGTAGATTAATGATAAATTTTTTTTTAAAAAGTGTACATCTGGCATGCTTGGAATGGGACAGGAGTTTGAGAGGTGGCATGTGGAATTACCTGTGGACTAATTGACCGCAGGGCCCCTTCCTCACTAGGGATGGGTGTTTCCTTAGAATGATAGATCTAAGCAAGTGCAATCAGAATAGACTTACAAATAGAAGGCAGCAACTATTACCTCAGATTGAGTTTGCATTATTGAGACAATCCCTTTCCTTGATTGTAAAACACCTAAGAAATTAAAGTGGGTGTTAATAATAGATACACAAGACAGAGGCCCTTTCCTGAAGTAGACAGAAAAACCTGATCCTCTCACACTCCTCAGAGTAAACTGTTACTCCTGTGTAGACACCAACATGCTATTTCTTTTGTAATTACATCCCGTTCTGAAGAAGGTAACAAGGTCTATTATTCATATTTAAAAATACAACTGTATATTCAACACATTTATCAAAGGAACAATAGTACCATAATACACGTTTTAGGGTTTACACATAAAAATGCCTTCAAGATACATATGTTTCTGACTTCCCTTTTGATTTCAAAAAAAAAGAGCATCTTTTTACATTGTATGACCTCTTGGGTCTCCATGATATTGAAGCCTGAAGCCTCCTCTTCCCAGGGGGATGGCTATTTACCCGCCTGCTGAATAAAGAATTCCTCAGCTTAATTATCATACAAGGATGTCCTGATGGGAAGGGAAGAATAAGGTGATAGTGGTTAAGCCAACCCATGAGGGGTCTGTCAAACTTGCTAACACACAACTGTCCTGAACAGAAGCCAGACCCAGTTTAACTAATTTTACATTTAAGTATTAATAATGCATGATAAGCCATGTCTGATGTGACAAATTGCAATACCTATTAAGCCATTTGCCCATCCAATATATCTGATTCACCAGGACACACCATGCGACAAAGACAAATCTCTCGATTCTTAAAAAGAAAGCTACAGGAATGGAAAAATAGTCTAAACCCAGTATTTCTCATTGGTATTAATGAACCTGATTCCAGCGTCACATATTGCCTTGGGAGAACAGAAGGAATCCTGTTACTTCCTCTTTTCGATTCCCCTTTGTGCCCAGCTAGCTCCTGAGTGAAAGACACTATCTTACGATCATGTTAGCGTTGGAGGTACTTTTTTGCCCGTGAATGTGGGGAGCTGAAAAGCTTGGGCCAAAAAAATCTCAGAGGAAGAGCAAGTGTAGCTTTTCAATAGTTTCACGCTGATGACTATCTTTTATACTGGGTCTCAGGAACAGAGTTCCACAGAAAAAGTGGAGAATGAATCCTCTGGCATTCAAAAGGCGTGTCTAAAATGGTACCCAGGGTTGTCAAAAGCGGAGAGCCCAAATGTTCACACTGTAACGGTTAAATAGCCCCAACACAGTATCATAAGTTTGCATTTTTTCTCCTTACACTCTGCTGCCATGGCACTACATTTTGTCACTTAAACTTCTACTTAGACCAGCACACATCCCCCTGCCTATTCCCCAATGTCATCTTGCCCCTCATGTCTGTATGTATAAAAATTACTTTTGATTACTTAAATAAGATATATGCTACTTTCCTATCTATTTAATATTTCTAGGAGAGCTTAGCTATCTGGACAATGAAATAATAATCAAAATATACTTAGCTTCTCAGTCATGGCTTCCCTATCTGTATGTGAAATAACTAGGAGAATATAAGCAGTTTCCACAGGTCAAGCTTTGGAAACTCAAACATGGAAAGAAGAAAAATATTCTCATTTAGTATAACTTTAGGCAAGTTCCTGATCCTACAAGATTTGGTTTTTGCAGAGACAAAATAACTATATTAACAGTACCACCTATGTTTATCAAGACTAAAAAGTGCTGACATGAAGTGAAGGTTCATAAATATTACCCATTATTAATATTATTCTGATAAACAGACCCAAAAGTGACCCCAGTGATCCCCACCTGTCAGGTTCATACCTTTGTGCAATCCTCTTTCCTTAAGTTTGGGCAATACCTGTGACTTGCTTCTAACTGATAGATTATGTCAAAGGAGATGGATGTGGCTGTGCTTCATTATATCACATTACATAAGACCCCATTTTAGAAGACTGACACTAGAGACCCTCTTTGTGGGCTTGATGAAGTAATTGTCATGCTGGGAAAGCCCACATACCAAAGATCTGAGGGCAGCCTCCAACAGTCAGCAAAAATCTGGGGCCATCATACAACTGTAAGGAAAGTAACTCTGCTAACAACCTTAATAAGCTTGAATGCGAATTCTTCCCCAAGATATGTCTCCGGAAAAGAGCACAGTCCATATGGCACTGTGACTGAAGCCCTGTAAGATGCAAAGCAGGGGACCCAACTAAGCCACGTCCAGTCTTCTAACCCACAAAATCTGCAAGATAATGAGTATGTGTTGTTTTAAGCTGCTACAGCTGTGGCAATTTTTGATATAGCAATAAATAACTAATATAATTATGTATGGCGAATGGTAGCTAATGTGAAGAACATGCTTCTTTTTTTTTCTTAGTTCAACTTTTCATTTTAATAAAACCAGAATAAATCCAGCACATGCAGTGCTAGCACCTAAAACAAATACAATTAGCATCAATAATCTTACAGTGATGTGAAGTTCAATGTTTCCATATTTAGAAAGTTTAAATGTTTTATTAAGAATATTTGTTTTTAGTTTGCTAAAAGTTTCACATTTGTTAAAAGTGAAAATATTCCTGGTGGACAGAACATTGGAAAATTCACTCATTATGGGACTACCAAAGATAACCATGTTTAAGGATTGCAAATACGCCAGTCACTAAAAACCAAACTAAACATATACCTTAACAAAAGTAACAGAACCTTTTGATATTGTGGATACTTCACACAAGTGTTCACAAATGTTTCATAAATATTTTAAGTATATCAAAACCTTGGCATATTTTAATTTCAAGTTGCCCATTTTTCCTTAAATATTGTCAAGAAATCATTGGCTAGCTACACTGTCAATGATTAATCTGAGTCAAGCATTAAAAGCTCACACTACCCTGAAACACATTTTCACATACAGTGACATTCAATATTTAAGTGCCAGTGTTTTTTCATACTGTCCTTTGGTCAAGTTTCTCTAAACTTTCTAAGAACACATTTAGGCTTACAAAAATAAATTATGTGTCAAAATGTTCAATGAATATTACACAAACTAGCAACAAAATGTATCTAAAATCTATTGTGTGCAAATAGATTTCAACGACCACTCTGTGGTTACAAATAACATTTTAGAATCTATAGTTAACAAGCTGCCTTCAACCATCTCCAAGAGACAAAATAAGATTGGAATTTTAGAACACACACACACGACGCATATATAAAATTCTCTGACTGTGCAGCAAGAACTTTGTAGAAAGTTATGGGGAAAATGTACAACAGTCTAAACCTCTACACTAAGTGTAATAGCACCATTAACAAATGACTATACTACTTATGTTTTACAAGTCACAATATGAAATCTCTTGCACTTTATGATGTTTTTGCATTATGCCATCATAAAGATTAACTGGTAAAGATTACTGCATTCCAGACACAAAATTAGCAGAGAATTCAAAGTGGCAGAGGTATTTTTAGGGATGGACAATCATCTTTGGCCAAGTTAGGAAAGAGGCTATAAATACAATGGAATCCTATGAAACTAAGAGAGAATTCAACTGCAGTATAGAGAAATGACACCTTGTGCAGTGGAGTACATATTTTCATCCTCTTTGATCTCAAGGATTTGTTTATTACTCTAATCTACAAAGTCTACAAATGTAAGCCATTTTAATATTTCAGTGCAGTTTTAACAGACTAATGTGAATCCACAGTAAAGCCTGCTGTATAAACCTCTTGACCAAGAAACATCAACACTAGCATGCATTAAAGACTAAATTCTAACCCATTAAGAGGACTTATAAATTGCCATGGGTCAGTCATCTATTTAAATTTCATGCATGGCCAGCATCAAAAACATCTTATTAAGATGAAATCCCCTTCAAGCACTTATCAAACCTCTTAACTTTTCCTAACAGTATGCCCACATTTGCCTAACTTTGCCCTAAACATTAGGAGTTGTATTTACTTGTAAAAAGTTTGAAGAATGCTTTGAAATATATATGGATACATTTGTACTTGCCACCTCAACACAGCTGGAATGGCTCAGAAGTTCTAAATGCCAAACCAGGATAGAGTGAGCAAATCACAGTACAATCTGCCACATTTTGAACTAATTCAGCTTTAAGATGTTCTTCTTCCCAGTCTTCCTTTATGAAAATGTCTCAACACAAGCTACTGCCCAAGTTTTTTCCTTTACATTTATATCAAATTGATGATTCCTGCTAAGTGGCATTAGACCTGTGTGCCAAGGTTTGATTTTAGCCCAACTTCTGTAACTTTATTGGAACAATTGATATTTTGAGCATCAGGACATCAAAACAGTAAGTTGTTCTAAGTTTAAGTCACAAGTAACAAATGATCCTTAGTCACAAAATTGTAAATGCAGTTTGGGCTGGGAATAAGCAGGAGGGGAGGTTAATCCAAGCTACATCAATTAAATCTTTAAATCAACTTATTAATAGACTGTTGACTACTGTTTTCTTCTTGTGTCTTTGAGCTTTCAGGGCAATCACAGTTGGTAATTGGACTGCAGTTCTTAAAGCTACACAATATGGTCTGGTTAGTTACATGTGGTTTCCAGATGAGGTTGTTTAAAAGGATGACTTTGTTGTAAAGCAGATTCAATTGCCCCACCAGTCGACTCCCTGGGAGCTGTAATTTCCTCCGTATCCATCACTCGTGTAGAAGCCTCCATAACCAGCTCCACCAAATCCTCTGCTGCTGCTGTGACCACCTCCACCACTGCGGCTGCTGGTTGCATGACCACTACTAAAGCCAGAACTGGTGGAACCACTACTTTGTCGATAGTCTCTGGCACCAAATCCTCCACTGAATCTACTCTTAGAATGTCCACGACTGCTACCCTTATAGTGGTGTTCATGAGCCATGTTTTCCAACCAAGATGGCACTTCTTGTTTAGCTTCAACAAGAAGATCCAACAAATCCTTCATGATATTTGTATTTCTTTCATTAAAGAATGAGGTGGCAAAGCCAAGGTTTCCTACACGTCCTGTACGACCAATCCGATGTACATATTCATCAATATCACTTGGCAAATCAAAATTGATGACATGTTTCACATTTGAAATGTCTAATCCTCTTGCTGCCACAGCTGTAGCCACTAGAATTGGGCTTTTTCCTGAGCGGAACTGGTGAAGGGCCTCCTCTCTATCTCTCTGTGATCGATCTCCATGAATACTGGTACAAGCATATCCTTCACAGTGTAAGAAATCCTGGAGAGAATCGGCACCCTTTTTGGTCTCCACAAACACTAAAGTCAGTGAATCCTTCCCTGCTGCATTTAAGAGGTCAAGCAAAAATGACCGTTTGTCTGATTCTTCCACCCAAACTACTTTCTGTGTGATGTTTTCAGAGGTAGAGCCAACTCTGCCTACCGTCAGGAAGATATAATCATCCAAGAAATCACGAGCAAGCAACTGTATCTGTCCAGGAAATGTAGCACTGAACATCATAGTGTGGCGAATACCCTTTGGTGGCATACTGCCTTGTTCAACTATATGACGTATTTGAGGTTCAAATCCCATATCCAGCATCCTATCAGCTTCATCCAACACTAAGTATTTGCAGAACTCTAATCCAATTTTTCCTCTTTCCATCATATCCACTAGACGCCCTGGAGTGGCAACTAACAAGTGACACCCACGTTCTATATCTCGAATCTGCTGACCAATATCAGCACCACCATAAACCACACAAGGACGCACTCTAGACCGGTATGAAAATTTTCTGGCTTCCTCATAGATCTGTACAGCCAATTCTCTTGTAGGAGCTAAAACCAAGGAAATTGGGTATTGTTTACGGCGTCCATACTTTCCATTATCCTTCACAGCCTTCAAAGCCTCGCCTGGACCATCTCTATAAATCTGACTTAAGATGGGCAAGAGAAATGCTGCTGTTTTTCCAGAGCCTGTTTGGGCACAAGCCATCAAGTCTCTTTTTTCTTTAATAATGGGAATGGCATGCTTTTGCACTGGAGTTGGACGGGTGTAGCAAGTAAGCTCAATGTTCCCCATGATAATCTCTCCCATCTCAACATCGTTGAAACTTTCAATATGTGGAGGACAGTTATTTCCAGTTGCCTCTACTGGTATATCATCATACTTCTCAAAGTTAATCCCAGTGTCTCTCCCGGAAAAGAGTTCCTGCTCCAAGCCTTCACTTGGTGGAAGTGGTTTTGACCAATCATCTTCATCTGATCTGTCACACCAACGACTGTGCCCACTGCGTTCAAATTTGCTAAAGCCAGTCCTGTCACAACTGCCAGTATCATCATAGCCACTTCGTCCACGATCGTCAAATCTTACCCTTGATCCACTTCCACGATCATTGAAGTAACTGGGCTTTCCTCTTGAATCTCGAGACCCGAAACTGTAGTACGCATCCTTATCTTTACAACTCCACCCTGATCTGTCTTTATCATATAATCCTTTAGATGCTTCTCTGTTCCTTAAGTGAGGAGGTATATAACGCCCTTTGCTTGTTGTACTTCCTCCTCCACTTTGATTATCAGAGGATTTCAGGTCTAGACCAGCAGACTCCCAAGAGTCTTCCTGCCGGCGTCCAGCTGCCATTATCTCCAGTCACCGGTCAACGGAGGCACGCAGCGGCCGTTTTCCGCTCCTCTAGCCCCTCCTCCAGCTCTTATACGTCACAAAACTTTCCACTACCCAATCACAGCCTCGTCATCGGTTAGCACCCGGCTGCTGGTCCGGCTCGGGCTCGTTTTCTACTCAAGAACATGCTTCCTGTGTGAAGAAAATACTGCCTAAGATTTTTGGATCGATATCTTGAATTTTAAACGTTTCATAGAACTTCAAGGTGGAAGAGATGGAGCTTAGAAACAATCTGGTTTAAACCCTCTCCCGGACCATTTTGCAAGTAAAACCACAAAGCTCCAAAAAAGTTAAGTAACTAGCTTGAGATCGTGTAACCAATTCATTGTAGCTCTGGAACTTGAACCCAAGTCTTTTGACATAATGTATCAACTCATCAGTCTAAAGCTGTGATTTCCTATTTTGTTGAGACTTTGTTTATTCTGAGTTAACAGCATTTAACTCAAACATAGAGCAAATGCCAATGTTGACTTATCTTAGATGATCATCTGACTTAACAATTACCCAATTTCATCTTTGAGTCCCAGTTCTTTTAGTTACTGTCATTCTGATATAATCTGCTTTCAAGGAAATACTGAATTGTAGTAACTGTCACATCCCACTGCATAAGAAACACAGTTAAAACCTGGTAAATGCAGAGCAACCAAAGCTCTGTCAGAAAGTATGAAAGCATTGAAATAAAGGGCAAAAGGTTTAGTTAATCCATGAAAATGTCACCATCCGCTTGGGATCTTTTTCTGAAGGTTACGTGTCACAGACTAAGTGTCAGGTGGTGCCAGCGGAATGGCTGCATCAACCCCTGTGATAAGTGTGCTAACAGATGCTACGATTACATTGCCTGCATGTCCAAGCCAGACAATGTGACCGTATTAAAATTAGAATGTATCTCCAAACAGCATATTTTGTTCAAAATTCTACAGTGGCTGACTAACTATATTCTCCCTATTGCAATTAAAAAGGTCCAATACTTTGCCATTTCCCATTGACCTCACCTCCCCAGATGAATACGTCCTATAGATCTAATATACATCAATGTGACTATAGTTAATAATATTGCATTGTAAACTTGAAATTTGCTAAGCAGGTACATCTTAAGTGTTCCCACCTCAGGAAAAAAAGCAAGCTTGTAAAGTAATGGATGTAGCTTGATTGAGGTGATTATTACACCATACACACACACACACACACATCTCAATTAAGTAACACAATTTAAATATATACAATTGTTAGTTTTCAATTATACCTTAATAAACTTGGGGATGGAGAAGGTCCAAAATATAGGCTATCTAGGCTATATATGCATATTTTTACACAGAATATGTTTTAAAATGTATTTCAATATCTATTCTGAAAATGATGCAGAATTTTAAAAACCAGGACTATCCTAGACAATAGTATTGTGCATCTATTTTTCACTCTTTTCTAACCATTCCCTTTAACAGTTTGAGTCCCAGTTCTTTCAGTTACTGTCCAGGTAATTTTGAATAGTTACTTAACCACCACAATGTTGAGCTTCTTCATGTATATCTTGTGTGGTAGATGAAGGTCTTGGAGTATAAACAGAAATATATATATATATACACACATACATATATAAAATGTTTAGCATAATTTTGTTGCATAAATTATTGCCTTTGTCTTTTCTTCTCATTTTACCCACAGGAAGCAACTTTGTATTTCTCTGAAGTCTTTGGGACCTTTGAACAAAAACTCAACTATAATCCCAAACTTTAAGCATCTTAACATTTGTTGGGTTGCTGGTTTACAGAAAAGCATTTTTTATTGGTGTGAAGCTTCAAGTTCAATCTAGCTGTGTCTTAAGGCTTCCATGGCACTTATTTGGACAGCACCAAGTCCTACAATGGGCCCACAGGCATGGATCCACAATGTCTCTTTGGCCCCAGCATGGCAAAGGGCACAGATCCATGCTATGCTTTAAGACAGCCAACCTTTTAGCAAATGAAGGGAAAAATTGAACTTAAGTCAGGGAGGGAAAACAAATCCTCTTGTCCAGGAAATTTCTTTAATCAACAAAGTGCTTTTTCAAGACTCTCATTCAATGTCACAAAGCTTGCTAGGTTTTTTTTTTTCACCCAGGTACACAAGGTCACAGCAAGTTCTTATTTCATAAAAGTCCAGAATAGAATCTCTTTTGAGAGAAATGAAGAAAATTACACTGGCAAAAGAGGTTGCCAAGATGGCATAAAGGTGTTTAGAAATATTTAATGTATTCTCATTTATCTGTGGATCAGGTTTAGAACAGAAAGAGAATCCGAAAGAAATGCTAGTAGACTTAACAACTATTAAGACCTGCATAGACTTCAATTCTCCAGCTTTCTCCCACAGTCCAAATATATGAATGTTTGGGAAAAAAAGGGTAAAAGCCCATGTAATTTACCCAGTGATGTATCACAGATTGCTCTGCTAGGAAAGCTAAATAAATGAGTAAATCTGTCAGTAAGCCCAGCATGAAATGAGGGTGGAGCAGGGACCACAAAGGAGATATGTCACATTCAAATCCTTAAGAAAAATACTGGTAACACACAAATTTAAATCTAAAAAATAAAAAGCTTCTACTCACACACATCTTATTTTTCATACTATATATACTATTTTCTCTTTAAAACTTTCCTAATATTCTCAGGTTTTCTTTTGCATTGTGCCTGTACAGTTCCCGGACATCTGAATGAAGATGAATAATTTAAATATCTGAATGAATTACCTACTCAATTCTAAGCATGGCGATCTTGTGACGCATCTTAATACTCAGATAATATCCTATTATTTCATGACAGAGGAAACAGTCATATACTAAACTATGTTTTAAACATTAGTATAATATACCCAAATAAGTACTTGTATTTGTACATTTACTTTTGAGTTTTTATTTTTTCCAGAGGCTACTGGTCAATTTCCCATGTAGAATTTACAATTCCTTTTTTCTTTTAATTTTTCTCAAAAACTGTTTTCTCCAACAATACACTGACTCTCTTGTTTTGGCACCATTCTTTTCCCCTCTTCTTTTCATATCTTTTCCTACATATACTCTGATCTAGATCTTGTTCTCCACTGAGTACACTGTTGAGTCTCCTTCTCTGCTGAAAAAATTCCCAGAAAGGCCATTTTTTCTTTCTATAACTGTTACTGTGAGGCTGGAAAGGAAAAAAGGCAAGAGGCCATGTACTTCTCTGCAGTCAGTACTGCTGAGGTCTTCCAGGGATGTTTCTCCCTTACCTTTAGCAGGGTGTTAGGGTGGGTGGGTACGGCCAATGCAGGCAACATATCTGCCCACCCACTGAACTCTACGAACTGCTGTTTTCTCTTTTAAGTGTGCATGGCAGAGTTACCACAGATGGCAGAGGAGCTCACCTAGTCCACGGAGCAAAAGTCAGTGGATTGTATCACTTATGTAGCATTTTAATACACTGGGTGTTTGTTTATAGAGCATATAAACAGACATAAATCTCTACATTCTAATTGATTAAGTAATTAAACACAATTCATATGTAAATGAGTATTTTATAGGCAGTGTGATTTCAGTAAATTTCATTTTTCAGAGTGTATGCCTTCTTCACATTAAACTTTCTCAAATGGATTTTCACAATCTCCAGACTCTGAAGCATAAGTCAGAAATCTGTTCTTCTGGCCCAATGCTTCAAGAACACTCCACAGCTGTCAGATTTCTCTGCTAGTAGCTTTAGTTACGATAGCTTCTCAAGCTATTTTTTTTTCCACATTCCTTCACCGAGAAATGTACAATAGACCCTCTGCTCTCTTTCTGCTCCATCACTGATTTAAGGTTGACCTACAAAACATTAAAAGTTTAATTCTGAGTCATGTGCTTTGTTCATGTCTTCGGGAGAGGTAAGTTCACTGGCAATACATGTTGGCTGAGTTTATACATGTACAACTAAATGAGGAATGAGACAGCATCCAGACATATTAAGGCAAAAACATATGTCTGAAATATCTTGAGGACTGAGGCCAGACTTTGTAAAATGTTACTTTTTGGTAGGATGAAAATGCAACCATATGGATTTTCCACTTCACTTTGCATGAGCAGAGGAAACTAATGCTAATGACTTGGATTTATCTAGTACTTTCTTTCCTCACAGAACCCAAAGGATTTAACAGACACTGTTTAAGTTTCTCAGGTATGTTCTTTTTTATTTTCCTTTTTTCTCTTTTGTCACTCAAACTTTTAAAAACAACTATAAAATTAATTTGTCATTAAATTGATTGAGATACTAGAATTAAAGCAGTAAAATTCCATAACAGTGAAAGGTACAAATCATTAGAAGTGAATTGGTATAATAAGAGCTGGTCCTACAGAGCACACTGGTGACCTAAAAGTAGGAAAGCCTATACACCTTTCTTGGCTTTTTAACTAATGGTTTCTTTTACCCCATCTCTTAACACATTAAAACACACACACACACACACACACACACACACACACACACACACACTCTGCTACTTAAGTTTTAGACTCCCTGAATTCTGAGTCCTAATCAAAACAAAGCCCAGGAAAAGGCTCTGATAAATCCATTTACACTAAAGTTGAATGGCTGATAATGTCAAAAATACTTTACTAGGAGAAACTCCCAGGCATCTCTAAGTCTAGTTCTGAAAATGTTAGTTTAGGGTGAAGGGCACATAGCATTTTTTCAGGTTCTTAAAATAATAGCATTTATCTTTCCCATCTTAGGTCCAGTTTTTTACCCAGAATGTAATTTGTTTCAAACAGGTATAAAATATTTTTATATTTAAACTTTATGTTGTACCTTTATAAAAGAGATGAAATCTCTAAAGAAGTAATCATATATCTGTGATTATTAGTACTTAATTATTTATAGTATCTTGTCTTACTCTAAAGACTACCCTTATTGAGTAATAAATTATATGCCAACCTATGAATAAGAGAAAACTGTAGTTGCATTTTGTATAGCTGCCAGAAG